TGATCTTCAGCCGGTTCGGTTCAATCTTATCCTGCGAGGTCATTCGAGACAAACGAACAGGTGACAGCTTGCAGTACGCTTTTATCGAGTTTGAGAACCAGAAAGATTGCGAACAAGCCTACTTCAAGATGCAGGGCGTGCTAATCGATGATCATCGTATACATGTGGATTTTTCTCAAAGTGTCTGTTCTACGATTCACTTTTTACTACCTAGCGTTGCTGATAAGTCATATAGGTGTCGAAATTGTCAGAAAGCTGGAGAAACGCTACCATCTCCAAGCGCAGTGGTCAGCGAGGCGGATTTGGCGGCGTAGCAAGTCTTGAGAAGAAGCGCCAGTATAGGGCGTCCGATAACGCTCGGGAAGAAGAGAATGATTATAACCTGGTGTTTGACAAGGGCGATAAGGCTCCTCGCAGGCGGTCATACAGCCGGAGTCCACAACGAAGTTCCAATCGTGACCGACGGGTTAGCCGAAGCCCTCGGCGAGATTCCTCTCGAGATCCTTATCGGAGACGACACCGCGACCGGTCTCTCAGTCGAAGCCCAACACGAGGAGAATATCGCGATAAGGACCGGAGTCGCTACAACAACCGTGAGCGACGCCGGGATGATGAACGTTACCGGGAAAGGAGGCGTCGTTGATGTGTTCTTCAGATTCTTAGTGTCTGCTATATTCCATATGTAAAATAAATCAAGCATACCTACGTAACTAACTGCATAAATATGGGCGATTTTTGATGACTGACTTCACTATTTATCTCCTGAGCCTCACCCAATAAATCCCTCGATCTCACTGACCAACCGAAATCCCCTGATGAAACTTGTGGCCCCACGGCTTCACATCGATGGTGGCCCACGAGAGCTCCGCCTTCTACCGTTCCCTGAGGCGTGGTTGGCCAGTCCGACCTCTCGTCGAGACTTGGAAAGTTTCTTGCTGATCGCTAATTATAGGCCCATACCCTCAATAATACGTATGTTGAAAATTGTGGTTGCGATGGAGTAGTACTAGGCCAGTTAGTAGTAGTACTAGTATCAGGTATGGAGCAGCTCTCTTTCTGTTACTCCTGACTAAAAATAATAATGGAATAAAAATAAATCATTAGTGAGGTAGACTATTCCTAGCGGTCAGCCCGTGGCTTGACAACACACTCCTTAGTATTAGATTAAGTTGTAGTTGTTGCTTTAAAAGACCCTTCATCCCAGAGCTTCAGTTCCACCCCGCCATTCATTCGCAAAAACCCCTCCCGGACTCTAGTTCTCACTTTCCCTCATTCTCTAACCCCCCACCACATCCACATCTCTCTTGCCTTTGAACAAAAATCTGCACATTTCCCTCCGAATCCACTTACATTCAAGTTCAACACCATGGCGGCAGCTATTAAGGAAACCGTATCCAACCTGCTCCATGGTCATTCCGAAAACACCCCTCGTCAACCTTCCCCTGAAGAGTTCCAGCAACTACAACAGAAGTATACCGATGCCGGGCAAGGACATGTTTTCAAATTCGCCGATCAATTAAACCAGGTCGAGAAGGCTCAGCTCTTCCATCAGCTGAGCAACTTCAAACCCAACCGGATCAATGAGCTGGCCGACAAGGTTCTGAATCCCGCCAAAACTCAGGATGGCCCCGTTACCCTCGAGCCCCTCCCTGAAGTGGCCACTGCCTCTATCATGGACTCCAACCCGAAGGACATTCAACAGTGGTACGATGAAGGTCTTCAGGCGGTGTCGGAGAACAAGGTCGCCGTGGTCCTGATGGCTGGCGGACAGGGTACCCGTTTGGGAAGCTCTGCACCCAAGGGTTGCTTCGATATTGGTCTACCCAGTCAGAAGTCCCTCTTCCAGATTCAAGCAGAGCGTATTGCCAAGCTCCAGCTCCTGGCACAAGGAACTTCCGGCAAGGAAGCCATTATCCCCTGGTACGTCATGACCAGTGGGCCTACCCGCAAGCCCACGGAGGAGTTCTTCGAGAAGCACAAGTATTTTGGACTGGACAAGAAGAACGTTGTCATCTTCGAGCAGGGTGTCCTGCCCTGCATTTCTAATGAGGGTAAGATTTTGCTGGAGACCAAGTCTAAGGTATGATGCTCCCTTGGATGGAGACCAACCCGGTGTTCTGACAACTATATCTAGGCCGCTGTTGCCCCTGATGGAAATGGTGGGATCTACCAAGCTCTCATTACCTCTGGTGTGCGCGAAGACATGCGGAAGCGTGGCATCGAGCACATTCACACTTACTGCGTCGACAACTGCCTAGTCAAAGTTGCCGACCCCGTCTTCATTGGTTTCGCCGCTTCCAAGAAGGTCGATATCGCTACCAAGGTGGTCCGTAAGCGCAATGCTACCGAGTCAGTCGGCTTGATCCTTCAGAAGAATGGCAAGCCTGATGTGGTCGAGTACTCCGAAATCGACAAGGAGACGGCCGAGGCTAAGGACCCCAAGCAGCCTGACGTGCTGAAGTTCCGCGCCGCGAACATTGTCAACCACTACTATTCCTTCCGCTTCTTTGAGTCCATCGAGACCTGGTCCCACAAGCTGCCCCACCATGTCGCTCGCAAGAAGATTCCTTGCGTGAACATCGAGACTGGTGAGGGTTTCAAGCCTGAAAAGCCCAACGGTATCAAGTTGGAGCAGTTTGTCTTCGACGTCTTCCCGTTGACCCCTCTGGAGAAGTTTGCATCCATCGAGGTACGCCGCGAGGATGAGTTCTCGCCGCTGAAGAATGCTAGTGGCACTGGTGAGGATGACCCTGATACTAGCAAGCGCGACATCATGAACCAGGGACAGCGCTGGATTGAGAATGCCGGCGGTGTCGTTGTCACCGAAGGGGAGGCCGTTGGGGTTGAGGTCTCCCCGCTGATCAGCTATGTAAGTTCGCCGTCCTTATTACCATTCGAGAACGAACAAGTTGTATGTTCATCCGAGGGTCTATACTAACATAAATCGAACAGGGTGGTGAGGGGCTTGAGTTCCTTAAGGGCCGTGAGATCAAGGCTCCTGCTGTGGTTGAGAAGGAAAAGTAAATATATTGATAACTACTGTTTGATTTTATTACCATATGCATTGCATGGCAGATTAATATATGAATGAAATGGTCGCTTAGCAGCGTCTGAACCACAAAGCGAATCTCATTCAGGAGAGGTCAAGTGATCGAGTGATCGAATGGACAAGCGTAGTAAACGTGCAAAGACACTCTTCATCTCTCCCAACTTAACATATCCATCTTATTTAGGTGGAAAATGACCGGCCGTTTCCCACTATTCCCTTCCTCTGAAGAGCCAGTGCCCTACTCTTTCTGACTATCGAGCCACCGCGCCCAGCTACGGTGATGCCTCTTGTTTAACCCAGCAACTTGCATTTGCACTATCCCCCTAGGCCCATAAGTTGACACCAGTTAATATAGGGAGTGCAGAAACAATGCCCATAATAACAACACACAGTAGAGCTCTACTTACACAGGCACAGTAAGCACTTCAATTGCTCATATTCAAAAACCATGCAATCTAACAATAAAATCATACCTGTAACGATTCACGCTTGGGAACGCTCATCTTGTTGGATGAACCGGTTCCCACATCTGAAATCCCGGAGGTAGAAGCATCACTACCTGCAGCAGGAATGGAACCAACAACATAGCTGGTACTAGAGGCAGTCTGTGTAGTCTGAGGAGCAAATTGAATAGTCCCAAGAGAGCAAATATATTCCGGAAAAAGCACAGTGTAAGTGTAGAACTAAGTGTTCAGTTTCTATACGTATGAAATATTAGCTTAGACGATGTTGCGGGAACGTCGGAATAGAGCTGGCTGATGATATGATACTTTACTGCCCTCAGGAACCCGGTTAAGTATCCTTGGATCAGTACCAACCAAGTCGTACACACTACCTCTGTAGGACAGTTGTAACTTTTAAATTAAATGGTTGGTCTAGGAGTTATATATATATATATATACTTATATCTTTAGTGATTTTAACATACTCCATGCAATTGCCTAATAAGATACATTATATACTCGACTTAGTACGTTTAATCAGTGAGTGCGAATAGTACCTGCACCTACAGATTGCACGTGTATAAATCATAGCCTTCAACCATGGAATCAGCACTCAACCCTTCGTACACTCTTCAGATAGGGAATTTTGTATGTGTGAAGGAGCCTAAGTGATCCGCAGGGCTGACGAAGAAGACAATTCCATGTTACCGCGAGTACCGGCTACGTGCGGGATCTCCCTCAAGTGCTATATTTATATAGAGCATCTCTTGCCCTGCGTAGCCTTTAGACACTACGGATGTGCAAGGAAAGCGCGCGTTTGCTGAACGAGGAACGGACTACAACCATGTCACACGGTGCAACAAGGGCTCGACTCAAGCAACGTTGCCCATGTCCATAGATCTGGAGGGAATTACACATGCTTGAAACTGTTGTCGAGTACCGCCGCACAAGTGGATCATAGTGGGGTAGTCTTAGACAGTCGCAATATTCAGTTGTTGCAGAAGGTGCTTGGGAATTATCTTAACTGCTCTAGGGAAGAAAGACGGAGTGGTAAGCCTTGTCGAGGAAGAGTAGTAGAAGGTAGGTTCCAGTTGACATAGTATGCCAGAACATGGAGATCTAAAAATATCGAGGAGGGGCAAAGAACCACCACACACTGCACAGAGTCAGGCGCTTACCCAATTCGGAAAACTGCACTGGCAGCCTGGAGTGAGTGAGTGACCCGTGACCGTCAAGGCTTCAAGAGTTCACACGTCAGGATTTACGACGAGGTGGTATTAGAAACGCAAGGGCTGGAGCAACTAAGAGAATGTCAATCCCTCGGGAACGTGTGCCTCAGGCCCATGCCAATTGATACGGAATCCGGGGATGTCGATGGTAATACTGTAACAACTATACGCAATACGGGAAAGCCCGGGAGTTAAGTTTTTTCTCTTTTTTTCCTTGTCTTTTCTAGCGTTCTGTAATCGAAAGTAACCCTTAGTGTAAGAAACTAAAACGTTGTCTGCCTTTTCCTGTCTCAGCTTCATCGCTTGACTGAATTTTTACTCTTCTGTGGGTTACGAGAATTTTCCAAGATATTTTCTGTTCTTCCCTGTGGTTCGGAGGGATTGTTGGAGTGCTGTGAGGGTTCCGTTTGGAGAGCTGCTGAGTTGTAAGTTCTGTGTGGTGTATTTTTTTTTTTTTTTTTTTTTTGTTTTTTTTTTTTTTTTTTTTTTAGTCGCTTTTTCTTTGTCAGCCCACTTTTTTCCAGTGTCGAGAGTGGGCTGTTAGAAGTGTTGCTCCTCCTCCAAGGTTCTCAAGTTGACGGTCAAATTCAGCATATTTGACAAGGAGATTTGAAGTTTGCTGTTGGTTTTAGGAAGAGTGAGTCTCTCCAAAGTTCTCGGAAACCTCTCGTGACTTTTGGCATCTCTGCTGTACTGGAGGGCGCACAAGCGCCGCTCGATTCCTCAACTTTTTCTTGATGTGCTTCACATGCGCACATTTTTTCCCCTCCCTATATTTGTCGATTTTCGGACGGTCCAAAATGGTTCAAAAAGACTGCGAGAGCAAACACATACAATTTCTACATCGCTGGCTTACCGGCCCTTGAATTCCGCGGCGTTCGTTCCGCAGACCATGCAAGAAGATATCCTCTACGAACCGAATTACAAGACGAGTGGTAGTTTGGCATAGCGACTGACAATGATGTTTCTGGCTAGCTAGTATACCGACAAGATGTTGCTTTCTCGCCGTGCGTGCTACAAGTGTGGCAATATTGGCCACTATGCCGGTTGGTCACCTTAGTCGAGGACTATCAATCTGCCGGACTTCGCTAACGGGCCGATAGAGGTGTGCTCTTCGTCTGAGCGTCTCTGCTACAACTGTGAGTGACACTACTTACTTGTAATTGCCAAGTATAATTCGCTAATATGTTATTCTTGATAAGGCAAGCAGCCTGGTATGGTACCATGCGTGCTACTTTCCTAGTACCGAAACCTAATGCATCGATAGGCCATGAGTCCAGCAGCTGCCCTCGTCCTCGCACTACCGAGAGTAAGGATTCCAAGTTGACAAGAAGGAAATAACAAGGAGGTTGACATGGTTTTTTTTTTAGCCAAGCAGTGCTACAACTGCCAGGGTCTAGGCCACGTTCAGGCTGACTGTCCCACCCTGCGTCTCAATGGTGCTAATGGCCGTTGCTACAACTGCAGCCAGCCCGGCCACCTTGCTGTATGTTTATTATGCTCGAGGTATCGTCAGAATAGAGGTTAACTGATTTTGTCCCAGCGCAACTGCCCGGCTCCTGCTTCCGGCGCTGGCCGCGGTGTCGGTGCCCCTCGTGGTGGATTCAATGGTGGCTTCCGCGGCGGATACGGTGGTTATCCTCGCGCTGCCACTTGCTACAAGTGCGGTGGCCCTAACCACTTTGCCCGTGACTGCCAGGCTCAGGCTATGAAGTGCTACGCTTGCGGCAAGCTTGTGAGTACAATATGCAGGCCACTATGTTGTTCGATTAATGGGTTTTAACTTTTCCTAGGGCCATATCTCTCGTGACTGCACCGCCCCCAACGGTGGCCCCTTGAGCTCTGCTGGCAAGGTCTGCTACAAGTGTGCCCAAGCTGGCCACATCTCCCGGGACTGCCCTAACAATGAGGCCGCTAACCAGCAGCCTGCTGAGTCTACTACCGCTGCTACTCCAGCTGCCCCTGCTACCGGGGCCGCCGGCGCCGCTGAGACTAGCACAGAGGCCGCCCCTGTTGCGCCTGCTGCTCCTACCACCGCTGTCGCATAAACAGCTGTGCGGTTCGAAATTGATTGATCCCATTTTTGGGAGCCTGTTTCCTTTTTTCGTTATTGTATTGGGCTTGCCGACTACGGTCTTGATTTCTTTCTACTCCCATGTATCTTCCTTTGCATATATTACGCCCCCGTGTTTCAGTTCTCGGCACCGGCCTTTTTCTATTCCTCTTATGTATACGACGAACAAAAGTTTCACGAAGTCTTAGGCTCCCTTACGGTTTGGATCCTATACATGGCTCAGGTTCTTACGATTGGCGTCTATTGTTCCCTCGGGTATCTTTCACATTTTGAATTATAGGTGCGGCAAGAAAAGAAGGAGACGAGGCGAGGCGAAGGGTTAATTGAGCGCAGGAGAGACATATGTGGACCAAAGCAGACGCGTTGATATGCATAGGAAAAGGCTTCAAGATGGTACAGATGGGATTGTGGTACTAAAGATCATTGGTGATCAAAGAATGGTACCTGGCGCGGTGGTTACCTTATCTTTCCGTACTATACTCTCTATATCTGATGAATGGGAAGCAAAAGCAGAGAAAAAAAAAAGCAGAAAAGCAAATTCCACTTTTTCTTAAGTTCCACTGTTGTTTTTCTTCGTATCGTTGCACTCATTTCAATGTCTGAGAAGGGATCTCTCTTGTTGTATCTCATATCTTCCAGGTTCAGGCTTTCTATTCCTATCACGATAGATCTCTGACTGGCCTCGATTGCACAAGATTCCCCCATTCCGTTTGGCCTTAGCCTAGCTATATTCCTCTGAGACATCATTATATGGACTGCCTCCGGGTTACCATCCCCATAAGGTTGTCCAACCCATGACCTGCTATGTTGGTTAGTAGTTCTGGACGATTTCCTGTTATGGAAAGGCTCGTGACCCTGGCTCTCTTTAATTCGAGTTGCAGTTCATCCGCCTCTCCGCAGTGCTCTCCCAAGAAAATTAACTCGCAATATCCGCTGTAACCTAAACTGGGATCGCATTTACACAGACATCATGCCCGGCTCTGATTCAAGCGATGAGTTTAATGATGATGTTGAGTTTCTTCCGTTGATTTCTCTTTCAGATCTCACGCTCTTCACTTGGATCTAGTTCGTGATTTCTAATTTAATCTGGGCCGTGGCATTTATAGGTCTTCATCGTGGACGTTGACAGCATCCAAGCTCATGGTACACCTTCCGATTATCAATGTAAAATATAATCTCACCACGATCAGGGGTCGGTGCCGCCGATATCACAAAATTGAAGACCAATGGCTTCTATACTGTTGCTGTACGTCCCACGACCTTTACAGACGAAAGCCATTTATGTTCTTAGATATTCTTATGTTTACTTTGCTTAGTCCGTTCATGGGGCTACCCGGAAGACCCTTCTGAAGATCAGGGGCTTCAGCGAGGTCAAAGTTGAAAAGATCAAGGATGCCATCAACAAGTGCTTGGTATGCAAAGATATGGTTTAAGAGTATAGCGCGGTGACTGACTCAAACTAGCCATCTGCGTCTGGATTTATCACGGCAATGGAGTTGAGCCATCAGCGGAAGAGAGTCGTTCGTATCTCAACGGGGAGCAAGCAATTTGATGCTATTTTAGGAGGGTAAGCCGTATGCACTATCACCATGTAGAGAACCACTGACGGTCCCAGGGGGTTCCAAAGCATGAGTATCAGCGAAGTATTTGGGGAATTCCGGTGTGGCAAGACACAGCTATCACATACTATGTCCGTCATCGCACAGCTTCCAAAGGAAATGGGCGGTGCAGACGGCAAAGTTGCTTACATTGACACCGAAGGCACGTTCAGACCGGAGCGTATTGCACAGATTGCCGAACGATTCGGCGTTGACGCAGACTCCGCTCGGGAGAATATTGCCTATGCGCGAGCTCTTAACAGTGAACATCAGCTGGAATTGCTGAATATCCTGAGCAAAGAGTTCACTGGTGGAGAATATCGTCTTTTGATCATTGACAGTATCATGAATTGCTTCCGGGTGGATTACTGTGGGCGTGGAGAACTTGCGGACCGTCAGCAGAAGCTCAATCAGTTTCTGATGAAGCTCGCCCATATGGCTGAAGGTCTGTGCTCCTATTCTGGCTGTTTGATTTTGTGGACTAATCAGATATCACTTTAGAGTTCAATGTTTGCGTCCTAATGGTGAGTCGCTTTTATTATCGCGGAGGATGTCAATCTCAGAAAAAGATAGACAAATCAAGTCCAGAGTGATCCTGGTGCTAGTGCCCTTTTTGCGGGTGCAGATGGACGCAAGCCTGTGGGTGGCCATGTCCTAGCGCATGCATCCACAACTCGAATTCTTCTTCGCAAAGGCCGCGGAGACGAACGTGTTGCAAAAATTCAGGACTCACCAGGTATAGTTCTTCTGAATTTAGCAAGACCACCCTAGCTGACAGATCTAGATTGCCCGGAGCAAGAAGCGACCTACGTGATCACTAATGGTGGTATCAGTGATCCCGATAAGGTGTAGAGCGCAACAGCTCTATTGTGGTGCATAGATCAGGACGGGCAATATTCAGGGCGTTGATATTGATAAATGCTAGTGGTTGGTTTTCTTCTGAGGAGAGTACCATTTGCTATGATTAGCGTATTAAATGTACACCAGGTGTCTGGTTCCATGTGCATTGTGGTTCGCAGGTAGTCTGAATTCTAGAATGGGATTTGATTTATCAGATAAAAATACTTCTCCGCCTTCCCGGCTAAAATAAAATTTCCCGCCAGAATTTCTTCCGCGCAATAAACCCATCAACATAACAATCTTCTTCTCTTTTAGATCCCCATTTTTCACCAAAAACACATCGTAAAAATGGGAAAGGATCTAGAAATAGCTGGCTACACCATCTTGCCGCTTCGTTTGCCCCCCGCCGAGTCAAAGCGTGCAAAGCCCGCAACACATTATCTCTACCTCCGACCTCATGAACCACGCATTCCCGACGCTGATACACCCCGCTCGCTATTCGTAGTCAATGTTCCTCTCGACACGACAGAGCTACATCTGCGCCACTTATTCGGGACCCAGCTAGCCGCCGGCCGTGTAGAGCGAGTTCACTTCGAAACCGTACCGACGAAGAAAAAAGGAGGAATGGCCACGGCGCATAGCATGGTCGCGAATGTCTCGAAAAGCAAAAAGAGAAAGAGAGTGACAGCCGATGAACTACAGAATCAGCTGGAGAATGTCACATTACCGTCTATGTGGGACCGGGAACTTCAAAAAAGCGGTGCGCATGCGGTCGTCGTCTTTGTTGATAAGCCCAGCATGGAGGCCAGTGTGAAAGCGGCCAAGAAGGCAGGCAAAAAGAAGGATGGGGAACTTGTCTGGGGCGAAGGCATTGAGGACCGCCTTCCTCAGCTGGGCTTGCAGCGTTATCTCAACCATGAACAGGCCCGGTATCCTCCCCGCGCGGAGTTGCTGCGCACGGTGAACGATTTCATGACGATGTTTGAAACTGTTGCAGAGGCTAGGAGGAAGGAGCAGGCACTCAGGGCACAGGAACCGGACGAGGATGGGTTTATTACGGTTACGAGTGGGCCGAAGCTTACGTCTGTTGCACACGAAGATGAGGCTAGGGAGTTGATAGAGAAGCAGAAACAGAAATCTCAAGGATTGGAGGACTTCTATCGGTTCCAGTCGAGAGAGAAGAGGAAGGAGAGGCAGAATGAGTTGCTGAAGAAGTTCGATGAGGATAAGAAGAAGCTGGAGGAGATGAAGAAACGGAAGGGAAAAATTAGGGTGAGTTCAATTGTGTTTCCTATTTCCCTTTTTCTTCTCCTAACCAAGGGGTTCCCATTGCTGATGACATACTAGCCTGAATAATGCATTTATTGTGTGTCGGCATCGATTCTTAGCATGGCGTTTGGGATAGATTAAAAGTTTTGACATCCTCATGGATTGGAGATGTACGTGCGAAGTGGCTGTGAGTGAAGTGCACATCTTTTGTTCATCTTTTGCACTGTATTTCATTATATTCCATACCGATGATGAGTCCGCTGGGGCCAGAGGAGAGCAAGACTCGACCTTGGTCGATGTCATGCCATGCCTTCAAAAACCAGCGAAATTAATATCTTCTCACCCTTCTGAAGCATTAAGCAACCATCCTTTGTCTATAGACTAGTGCTGCAGATTTAGGACACCTGCTGACAACTGATACTCCGACTAGGTACTTTTATTTCCTTCCAAATCTTACGGTTACGGAGCTGTGAGATCAAAATGTATACCTACTTCTGGATTCTAAATACCAAGGTGGGCACTAGCTATACCTGCGATTTTATCTCCGTATATGTAATAGGTTAAATTACAACTATATCTTCTCCTGCCATGGGACCATCGCTTGCGGCCTTGTCCTAGTAGATATTATCATGTCTGTAGTGCGCACAGACCACCGTATTTATTCTATCTTCAGGGCTTGGCATGACATCTTCAGTTGCACATGATCGATGTCGTTGCAATGTCCCTGCTAACTTCATACACGACCAGGTATTTGGAACAAGGAACCTTGTATTTCCTATTGTTTCTGCCTGCATATCTGCATAGGGCTAGTGGTCTTATCTGAAATTGTGCGCATTTCATTGTTGAAACCGTTGCCACTCTACAAAAGTGGTGTGATCCGGGTTCCTTTTCTTTGTATCAATTTTCGCGAAGACCTACGCTTGTATACCTTTTATATATAACTTTTGCCCATGTCTTTTACTGCATCACATCCAGAGTCCGGGGGGTTTATACGGCCGCCTCTTTCCTCCCCAGCCCCTTCGACATCCACCGCTACTCCATCCATTCTCCCCAGACCAAGACTGCACCCCCTCAAGGCAGGTTCAACAAAAGAAACCACTGTCATCAACCATGTTGACAAGAAAATTTTGATCATTAATCGCCGACACGCCAAGAAGTTTAGCAGTGCATTTGATGACCAAGCCCAGCAGGAGTCGGAAAGGGGATACGAGAGCTTCAAGGAAGTAGCCAAAGATATTGAGGGTTTGGTCGATGTTCTTTGGGTTACTGGGACTCGTATGTGTATCTACCCTGCTTCACTCGCTATGTGGAGCGAAAGAAGTTTAGCAAGAAACTTAACTGACTTCACACAGCATCTCTTCAAATACCATATTTGATCTCTTTGGCGGTGTATATTAACACATACCTCCCTGAATACCCCTTTTCTCCGAAGGCAACTTTCCGTCTACTTAAGAAGCTGGATTCCGTATTTGCATCTCTCCTAATAGGAGAGGACGCCGACTCTGGGCTTCCCCTGCCAGGCTTCGAATCAAGACGCAATGTTGTGTCCATGACGGAGAAAGTTAGAATTAAAAGTATTGCCGAAACTTGCCGTGTAGCTGTTGTGGAGGCCAGAGAGCAAGTTGCTGATTCTGACGATGAAGATGAAGATGGCTTCAGTGATGATGACGATGATATGGATGATGTCTTCGGTACGGATGATTATGCAGCCCCCGGGAGGTGGGAGATGGAGACCGCAAGAGTTTACGAGAAGACAATTCAGCTCCTTGGAGATGAGTTGGGGAAAGCGGGAGAATTCTGTGACACGAACCTGGCTCCTGGAGATGCTTGCCAGGCTGAGCCGAGTGAATGAGACGTTGTGATTCTAACAATAATAATATGGATGGGATGCCTTAATGCCCGTCAATGAATTAAAATCGGTACTACCGAATCTTCCATAATCAGGCCACCCAAACAACATTCGGCTCTGGCTGAGTGATTGACGACTCCATAATATGGCAGATGCGGCTTCCTTGTTGGATGGAATGACTTGTGAGGAGTGAAAGCATTAGGTGATCTGCAGAGCTTTCTTCCTTCCTTTCTACTGCATACAAACATCCATGCGTTGTATCTGAAGGTAGAATACTTTCACTCTTTTTGTTTACCCATCGATACCCTATCGTACTATCAAAACATCAAATCTGGGCTCGCAAAGTAATTTCCGCTTGTGAGTGGAAAAGCCTTAGCCAGGGCTAATAGTCTGGTTAATAGATGCCCACTACGTTTCTACCTAGCTTTGAGGTCTACTAACTCGGGTAGTTACCAACTTATCCCGAATATCTGGGCAGGATTGCTATTGTTATTTTTTCTGGCACTGTAGCGGCATAGACAAAAATATATACTAAGGGTCTGGAGTTTCCTCCCTAAAGGCATTGGAGGACTGTTTTTGAGCGCAAAGAAATATTCAGGTATCTAAAGAAGCACTACAGGCAATATTCTTATTAGTCTAGGGATTGCCTTTCACCCTGATAATGGAAAATTCTGTATCGGGTTCGCGCCTACGTTGCAGAGGGCAGGATCCTTATCCTCCGCTATACAGTTGTTTCCCAGGTAAGGAGAGGCTATATGTGACTTTCTTCCAAATGATCTTGGGCTCTTTTGGTGCATCGATGTCATCTTAAAACTTGCCTTGAATACATCCAAGACGAATTATCACACGCCCCCGTGCCTGCACCTGTACAGGGGTTACTACTACAATCGTTTTGGCCGTGCGGGCCAGAAGCATTTGACTCTGCAAGTTGGCCAGACACCTATATAGATAATGACAGGTACTGACATTACATTACTATAGCAATGCTTCCTTGGCCTTGAGTGGACCAGGTTCATTTGATTTTCAGGTATAGCTTCATTTGTTGGTCACGTAGATAGGTCAGACTGAACGCGACATACAGCCTGGCTTTCATTGAAATTCTGCTGTTTTATCCGACCGTCTTTGTTGCGCATTGAGTCTATGGTATAATGCTCTTGAACTTCTGGCGCGTACCATGATTGGAATTTATTCTAGACCATCAAGACGAACCGAACCAAATTGTTTAGCGCATTTCCAAAACCCGCGGTTGCCCAAGCTAAACCACTAACAGGGCTAGTGCTTACTGTTAGTTGGTGGATCATGGATTGGGCGACCTTGGTCGTGTGTACCACATGGCTGTCTTGAATCTTAACATGTTTAGTATATCTCGATGTTGTAAGAGTAACGCGATTGCATAAATGAGCTTAGTGCTTTTTCTTTTTTTGTTGTTGTTGTTTTTTCTTTTTTTTACACCAAGTTCTTCCTTCGGCTAACCTGCGGGCTAGGAAGGAGATTTTATGGAAACCAGCGCGGACACTGGTTCTCACCATGTTTCAAGGGTGTCAGACGACTTCGGTTGTTGGGTATGTTGGGCATTACTCGATCCATGGTTCCCAAGTCTTTCCAACCTTATACTTTGTAAATGCGTGATGGGTGCACGTTCACATCCATTAACAACAAGGCTTGTCTATGTGGAAGAAGTATTGTTAAACGTACTGTATCTTTGCATAATATACTCGGGGCTAATGCATATGCGAGGATATATCATCATCGTCATCAGTCTGTTTGGTTTTTCCACTGTATCTGAACCTTAAAAAAAATCAGACACACCAAGAACAAGACGAAAGGTGACCTACTAATGCATGGGGGTTAATGGTCTCCTGCAAGGGACTGACGACCAACCAATATCCACTCGGTAAGGACGGATCACCGTATATGTAATTCTGTACCTACATAATGTCTCTCCACAATGCACATACCTTGACGAAGATTCAGTCGGATATTATGAATGCAAGGGAATGTTACCTCTTCCACAGTATATGTGTTCATTCGTCTTACGATACGGAGTACATCTCGAAGGATCGAAAGGAACTTTTTCCTATCCCTTACTCATGCCAGAGGTGTTTTTTCTCATGTTTTGGGTTTTGTGTTATCTCGAGACAGTTCTGATACTTCCGTGCCGAAACCACAATGGCATGCATACATACCTAGGGATTAGTAGTTTAAAGGTATTTATTTACATTGAGACTTACCTCTGCAAATAAAGAACTTTTTTTTTTTTTTTCCTCTTCCCTCTTCCCTCTAAAATTACTCAAGCAAGGTGCATGTATCAAACTTGACAGGTTAGTTTATCGCGTCGCGTACGCGTACATACCTTGAAGATCAGGTCAGGTACTACCGTCCAGTCAGGTAGTGAATTTAGCTTTAGGTACCCTACCTGTTGCCGTCATAACCAATCTCAACCGTTCGAACAAGCTAAATCCTAATTTAGAAAAGTGAGATAAAATTCAAAATTGAACAAAAAAAATTCCACCTCACGAGGCTGAGAGAAAATCTCTGCCATCTCGTGGAGAATGTCACACCCCATCGAATTGTATTAGATCAATGAAATGCATTATTTCCATTGTAAATACGAATGGAGTAAGGTAGTCGTAGATTCCCTGATAGTCGTTGGCTAATGTTAAAAATTACGAACCACGCCGGTTCAGATGCTCCAGCCAATAAGAACGGCAATGTCATAGATTCCATGGTTCTGATTGTCGGTGGGCTTTTTTTTAGTCTTGGTTTTGGATGGAAGATTTCTCATACTAGGCAAAGGAGGGAAAATAAGATAGAGAGAAGCAGGCCCACGCGCATGGAACTTTTCGTATTGTATAGTGAATACTGAACGAAAGTTATTGTTTTATGATCTTCAGGCCTTTTTTTTTTGAATCAGCCCTTGTGGTGCCTAGTGTGTAGAGTATGGACAGCTTGGACCATCTCCACTATAATTAACAATAGAAACAGGTTTCAAGGCAAAGTTGCCCTAGTTTTTAGCGTATTGGCTAAAATGGATATAACACGTTGCTTCATAGGATGATCTTGGGTTGGCTCGTTGAAGTTATTACTCCGTAGGCAGTACTGCTTTTCGGCCGTTATTGTCCAGAGCTCCACGATCCCATGGTTTCGGAAGCATTGGTGGGGTCGATGTATTTTCCCCTTCTATCCTTTGATCAGGCCGTTTTTTTTTTTTTTTTTTTTTTTGCCCTCTTCGAAGAAAATTATATTTTTCCCACATCTTGACCAATTTCCGGGACTGGCACGATGGTGTAAAGTAAGTCTGAGTAGCTGTCTTCTGAGCTTCTTGCAAGCCTTTCAAAGGACGACCCGGACGACCGGCGTGGCTGCAAACGGAAACCGATCTGCGAATGAATGCCCACCGAGCAAGGTTAACAACCCCAGCGGAGATACGGCTATGACGGTTAAGGCCCATGGACGTGAACCGAACTCGACGAGTCACAGGCCAAGGACAGAATGGAAAAAAGAAAAAAGAAAGAGCTCACGACCTCCAGCAGTTTGGAGTCTTTCTGCATGTGCATCCATCGCTCAGGTCCTTGCAGATTTCGTGCAGCGAGTTTCATTTGATTAATTGAACGAAATTCTGCCTGCTTCCCGTCTGCGCATGTGGGTATTATTGCTTCCTTGCTTCTTTGGGGATTGTTGCATACCGCACGGTTGAGTTGGTTCTTGCTCCCTACATAAAAGAAAGAAAGGGAGATTATGGGAATCCGCACGGGTGATTGAGAAAGGTGTTGCATTCTTAAAGCTTTTTTGTATACTAATGACAGGTTTCATGGACATGGGTTGCATTTACCGTGGGTCAGCATAAGTATGATGTTATCATGGACAGTAGGGTAATGTACCTAGGTACCTAGGTACCTAGGTCCTCCCTCCCCTCTACTACTGGTCCATACAAAATGGTAAAATAATGTACAGAGTAAATCGGTACTGCAATATACTGTATACATCCGGGCTATTACTACCTAGTAGGGACCCAATGAGGTGGGAATCCAGGTAACTTTAGCTTTCTTAATACTTCCCCGAGATCTGCTATCGATCCTTGTCCGAATGCATCACGAATGAGAGAGGGCTCTTGAGGATTTCCCGTATTGTTCAGATGCATGCGGAGGAAATAAAAGAGATCGTGTCGGGTGAGCTACGGACTACCGTACTAGTAGTTAAGGCGCAGGATGCAGCAGTCATTTGGGTTTAGAGTGGTTCCGATTAGTACTCAGTAATGAATCATAGGGTATGGTACCTGTATTGGGTGGACCATTTCATCATGGATCTAGGTCTCCCATCTCCATCCATTCATTCATTCATTGATTACGGAGTATGAATTTTAGTCCTTTAGGAGAGCTCATCCTGGTGGACCTAGAGCTTATGACGATACTAATCAAAATATACTGCAAGTGTTTAAGACATGATTCCACCAACACTGGAAGAATTTCGAGAGTATCCATCCTTACTTGATACCGAGCTGCCAGCTTTCGAACAAAGACTGCTAATGTCACCCAAGAAAAAGAATTAATCCAGATCTACAAAGGACCAGTCCCAGTTCAATTCCTTTTGTTGAGCCGGTCATCCAAGCTGAGATAAAAAATCAAGAGAAAATTAAAAAGTCCTCCATCCCAAAAGGAAAAGTTGAAAAAAAAAAGTAATAAAAAATACTCTAAGATTTTTTTTCCGTTTTCTCTTTTTCTTTTTCTTTTTTTTCTTTTTTTTTTCCCTTGAACAGTCGGCAAACTTTCGACCCACCCTGGCAGCACTGCGCCCCTCATTTTCTTCTCTCCTCACAGTTTAGTGACTCGCTCAGGGCTCTTGTGTGGTCGTTCTACATTATTTGGTTTTCTCTTTTAAATTTTTTTTTTTTTTTTTTTTAACTTACTACCTCTGATTTCTGTTCGTTCGTCTAAGGTAATTCTGCCGTCGTTTGGTCCTGCCCTAGTACTAGCATCTCCATTTTCCATTATTCTTCCATTTCTTCCCTTTCCCTCTTTTCCTTTTCCTTTTCCTTCCCTCCCTTCTTCTCCTCCCTTCCCCTCCATTTCTGAAGAATATTTGCTCTTTCGTCTACCCCTCTTCTTCTTTTCCTTTTCATATTCCTCTTCACCTTCCTTCCCCCGTTCCTTGTTCTTGTCGGAAAAGACGGAGTCGGTTTGCGGATAGTTCTGTTAACAACTTCTTGTGCCTTTTCTATCTCTTAGTTTCTTACTTTTTTCTTCTCCACCTCGCGGGAGTTGTCTTGATTCCTCCAGTTCCTGGGTTCGTTTTACGTCTTAACGCATATTTCTCTTGCGCCATTTCAGAGCGACGCATTTTATATTTCCTCTTGTGAAAACCATTTTCCAAGGTCGCCTTGTTTTTATATCACCTGGTGAGTATTATATCTTCTTGCCGCTCTTCTAGCCTTTGAATTTTCTTTTACTTTTTCCTTCGGTCTGTTTCACCCCCGAGGGATTGGTTCTTGGTGCGATGTGGAAAGAACTTGCGTCATTGCCTTGCTAGTTGGTGCGCTTCGGGGATCGTGGAACGTCTTCCCTGGGAGTGGTATCTACTTACTCGAAGAGACGAATAATCCCCTAAGCCATTGCTCTTCGAATATACAGCCATCACGTTCTAGCCCGTCAATCGATTGCTTTAGTACCATCAGCGACCATGCGCCAGCCGATCGTTCTCTTCCGCCTTGGCTAGCATCCGACAGTCTGGACGGTCGCTAAAGTGCAACATCCAACGAGCTCAACCTCGTATCTCCAAACTTGAATGTCGAGCATACGGCTTCGTTGTTGCACGGTTTGTTTTCCGGATGAATGAACAGCATCAAAGATGGAGTTGGCTGGGACGACCGCAATCGATGCCGACGGATCAGGAATTACAATCGACGAATGCGGTTGCGACCTAATGAATGTGTGGACCATGGCTACTCTCCTACCTCGACTTGGACCTAACGTTCTCCGACTTCCAACTGTCCTGTCGTTAGACTGTACGACTTCCGGATCTTCCGTCACATCTTGGAATGCTCCCTTGCCCGGCGAAAGATAGTCTTGGCAAGCAAGGCTGAAACAATTGCATCGTTAAATTTCAACTTCCATGAACCAAGCCCTCCCGGGTCACTACACGAAGCGCACACCTTGGGTTCTAATCACTTTTGATTTTGTTCTTTTCACTGTCGCTTTTGAAAACATTTAACTGGAACTACTGCTTAGCTCCATTCACTTGGGTTGCGCCTTGGAGAATTTCTCACTAGTGCATCTTCTTCCCATTCTGTTTTCAATAACCTCCTTTAACTATTCTATCTCAAGTTAAATCACGCTCCTCCCAACACCACTAACCAGCTTTTGGACTAGATTTAGGAAGTGGAAATACCCTCTGATATTTTTCACCTGAACGATCACACGCTTCTCTCCTTGACGATTCCAACGAATTCCCACTCGCACGGACCGTTTTCGGGATAGAAAAGTTTTTTTTGTTGTTTAGGTTTCTGCTCCTTTGCCTGAAATTTGAGGTATGCGCAAGAATCTCCCTGTCCGCCGAGGGGCACAGTTCGAGATCGAGATCCTACAAATAGTGGGAGTGCTCGATCCCGGTCGACGAATTTAATTAACTTGTGTTTATTTTTACAGATACCGTTATAGTTACGAACTCGGATTCACGTCAATATGTCTTTCCAGAACTTCGAATCGTTCCAGAACCAGCACCCAGCGGCCGATGCTGCCGCTGCTGCCCCCGGCGCACCTGCCACCGCGGATACCATGGCCGGCCAGGCCGACCCTACCACTGCCCAATTTCAGGGCCCTGCCCCTGGCGAGCCAACGGCCGCTCCCGTTCAGCCCGCTCAGGAGGGAAAGACCACCCTCTGGATGGGTGAGCTTGAGCCCTGGATCGACGAGAACTTTGTCCGCAACCTCTGGTTCCAGATGGGCGAGCAGGTCAATGTTAAGATGATCCGTGACAAGTTCTCTGGGTGAGTACACAGTAATCTCAAACAATGTATGGAAGGCGATCCTAATGTTGGTAGTAGGAGCAATGCCGGCTACTGCTTCGTCGACTTCTCCTCTCCCGCTGCTGCCGCTAAGGCTCTGTCGTTGAACGGAACTCCCATGCCGAACACCAACCGCCTCTTCAAGCTGAACTGGGCCACTGGTGGTGGCCTGGCTGACCGCAGGTAAGAAGCTCAGACGAATTCGAGACCACTGAACATTAACTGACAACCGTTGTTTCCAGCCGCGATGACCGTGGCCCCGAGTATTCCATCTTCGTTGGTGATTTGGGCCCTGAGGTCAACGAGTATGTACTCGTGTCCCTCTTCCAGAGCCGTTTCCCGTCCTGCAAGTCTGCCAAGATCATGACCGACCCCATCAGCGGCATGTCTCGTGGCTACGGCTTCGTTCGTTTCTCTGACGAGAACGACCAGCAGCGTGCTCTGAGTGAGATGCAGGGAGTCTACTGCGGCAACCGTCCCATGCGTATCTCCACCGCTACTCCCAAGAACAAGGGACCTGGTGTCGTTCCCGGCGGTATGGGCATGCCCGGTCCCGCGGGTATGTACCCTCCCATGGGTGCTCCTCCCATGGGCTTCTACGGTGCTCCTCAGCCCATGAACCAGTTCACTGATCCCAACAACACAACTGTCTTTGTTGGTGGACTTTCCGGCTATGTCACCGAGGATGAGCTTCGGTCTTTCTTCCAGGGATTCGGTGAGATCACCTACGTCAAGATCCCTCCTGGAAAGGGCTGTGGTTTCGTTCAGTTCGTGCAGCGCCACGCCGCTGAGATGGCCATCAACCAGATGCAGGGTTATCCCATCGGCAACTCCCGTGTGCGTCTGAGCTGGGGCCGCTCTCAGAACAACTCCGGCCCTGCCGGAAGCCCTTACCGCCCTGCTCCTCCTCCGCCTCCCATGTACCCTTCTATGGGCATGCCCCCTGCCCACCAGTATGGCGGCTTTGCGCCTATGAAGGTTGGTGACCCTGAAGCTACTGCATGAGACTCCGCGGTACCTAGTACAAGCTAGATTGTTAACGAAAATATCTAGTAAAAAAAAGCGTTCCTTTTTTTTGAAAGCCACAGCAGGAGTTTTGCGTCATTTCAATGATGGGTCTTTTGTGTTATAACAAGTCTGCTATTTATCTCTGCGAAAGCTCCCTTCTATAGCTCTGGATGGGCATTCTCTCCTGTGCTACGTATTTCATTACACCTGAGCGCTTTTTTATTTTCTTTCCACTTTTGTTAGCAAGATTTGAGCTCTTATTTCACAAACGATCCTGCTATTTTTTTTTTCCTTCTTGATTGATGCCTTGTTCAACAAACCCCTTCTGAATTCGTTTACGTTCTCCTTTTCCAAATGCCCCTTTTGCCTTTTCTATTACGTTTGTGGCCCCAGGCCCTTGTTATACGTATGACACCTAATCGATTCGTTGATGCGTGTCTTTCCCCTTATATCCTTGGGCAGGCATTCTGCGAAAAGTTCTTATTCTCGAAGCCTTTTCTCATGAAGCAGTCAAATTGAATTATGTTTCCCTATGAGGATGTTGCGTCATGCTTTCTGCTAGACTGGCGGTCTGTACAACACTGTTTCCCTTCAACATCTTCTTTCCTAGGTGCAGTTCACTTTATGGAGTCCAATGCGTTCTCGCTCGTTCAGTGTCTGTCTTTTGTGGTTATGCACCGGCGTTCGGTCGGCTAAGGTGACCTATGCTCTGGCTCGTCTGTTCGCCTGCTCTACTCGCTGCTGCACCCCGGAGTGTCATCATCTGGGATTGGGTCATCTCTCTTTTCTGAATCTTCGTTATTGTAGCTACTGGAGCTGGAATGAGGTTGCTGTTCTACCTGCCCCCGGTGGATCTTCGGTTGAAGGCTACGCTGCATGTTTTCTCGGACGTTGGCGGCAATCTGTGACATCGTGACTGATCTGGGCGTTCTCGTATTTATGATCCATCCTACGTAAATTCGCGTTTTCTTTGTTCTCTCCTTGGCGCGTCCCAGGTGCGTCTGGCCAGTTTGTATTTCAGTCTGTTTACGGATGATTCCCCCTCTCGCTACCCAGTGAGCTGTCGCATCTATATGTTAATTCATGCCCTTACCTGCGATGCTGATCACGCTCGGAGTCGAAGATCGCAAGACCATGGGCCTCGATCGTGTATATGTTACTAGATGGCTACCCAATTGAACGGGGCTTTATTCCTAATCTCCCCCCATATTCGACCTACGTCAACTCTTGAAGTGGTTGTGGTTGAGGTTGAGATTGAATGTAATACTATCTCTTGAGAAGCACGGCAGTCATGCCCCTCGACTGATTACCGTCCCTTCACTCGTTCCTGCCCGCCCATGTCTCCTTGGGCGTAACCCAGACATAAGGCGCCTTACACAGCGCCAAATATGGAAAGAGCCTTTGGGGCGTTGATATCGAGTTCGTCATTTTTTCCCACTTCACCCTTCAATCGTCTCTTCCAGAGGATTCATTACTCCCTCACTTGCTCATTAGTCCCCAATTTAGTAGCCAATGCGGTTTCTTTACTTCTGATATTTTCTACCACTTCTCAAGATCCTTTGTTTCTCATTTTATCCCACGGCAAAGGAAACAACCAGCGTATGTGACGCAGGATGCGTTATGAGACTTGGGATGTGCTTCTCTTCCCTGACAATTCCAAAGTGCCAATCCAAGAGTTCAAGACACAATGCTTTGTGATCAAGGATAGAGGTACGTACAGTATCCGGGAGCTACACAGACTACACACTAATCTTCGGCCGGCAGGATCCCCTTATCTGCACAGTCCTGCTCTTGTAAATCCGGCGCCGTATTGCCTCCCTCAAGGAAACATGGGTCTGCTACCTGTGCTCACGACTTTCATCCCAAGTGTATCGCCGAATACTCCGTTTCGGGTGTCTGTTCATAGCTGGGAAAGGCCTCGGCCTAGTCGACTAATGGAGAGTCTGCTGCAACCCGATGATGCCTTACTTTTTGAAGTCCGGATTTTCATTGATGGTCTTTTTGTCTCGTGAGTCACACCCTCGGCTGTGAACAGCCATTGAATGAAAGCTAATAAAATGAGTTAACTTACTAGTGGTAGCGTCTTTGGCCAGCGGACTAACTGGCCCCATGTCATTGGTAAGTAGACCAAGCCTGACAAGCAAAATCGCCGCCTCCTGTGAGCTGGTCTTTCTGATTGATATTAATGATCTAGATTTAAGTTCAAGTATGTTGTCCCCTCAATACCCTGTGTGAAAGCCACAAGTTCTGAAACAATGTTTCACTAGATATCGACAAGAGCGGAAATCAGGATAACCTGCGTTTCCCGCCATTTCACCAGGAGATTTTGGAGCAACAGCACTGGGACGCTGGTGAGCTTTACGGTAGGATTAGGGTAGTGATCTCTGAAGGCTTTGCTCGGCCACATCGCAACCCACCTTTTGAGCGTGTTAAAGAAGTGGTTGCTTTTGCCTTTCAGCATGCACCTTTGCGTGAGTTGCCCATGGCTCTCTGCACCCTTCAGTTTTCTCAAATCTAAGCACACCAATCTGACAAGCGACAGAGGTATTGGAGTATTCTAGTATTGCTTGGCCCAATGCCTCCATGTGGAGCCGAGAACCCCGTCTCTTCAAATATAACACTAGAGGTGAGCTTAGTGACTTGAAAGAGCCAGAGGATACGCATGCCCACTCGCCCACCCGACATGGAATTCGAGAGTTTGCGACCACAAGCAGCCAGATCAGTAACCCGGCAACACACAGCGCCTGGACATACCGAAGCTATCAAGGACCTATTCCTCAAATTCAAGGCAGCCTCCGAGAATCACGATGGCCCCAACAGGAGCAGCTTATGCCGGATCCCTTTATCGACCCCTATGTGCTTGATCCTTCTGCACGCCACCGAGGTGCGAGACCCTCTTCGGAGGATGTATCTATGCCGGACTATGTTTCAAGTTCAACCAGTAGTCGAGCTATTTCACACATGACCGGAATTAGCTACGAGCATAGCAAGCATCCAAGCATCATTTCCCCTATTGACGAGGAGTCCTATAACCAATTTTTCGAGGTCCTGAGTCCTCCGAAGCCGCTGTCCTGCGGTACAAAAGCGCCCACAAACACGCCTTCCGCCACATTGCCTATGGGTCGAAAGCTCTCCGTTGCAGCTGAAGCGCGGTCGGCACCGTATATTAACAATGGAAATAGAGCATCACTCCCAAAAGATAAATCGCATCTAGGTACTAGAGACGTCTCAGAAGCTAGTGTTAAATCCAACCTGTCCGCCGAGCCTGTTACCGATACTGCAGCAACGAGCAAGCTTTCTGTCGGTCTAAATATCCAGGTTAAAGGCAGAAAAGAGGGAATGGTGTCGGATAAAAAGGAAAACGAGATTACAGTGGAAACTCCGCGAAGGGAAAGTGACAAGGCCCACCATACAGGGTCCAAGACAGCCGTGCGTACCAGTGGAAATCTAGAGACTCCTCCCACTGGATCTAGAAGAAGACGGTCCACGGGTTCTGCTCGCAGGGAAAGTTTCAGTTTTTCTAAAGGAGAGCCGATTCTGCTTTCTCCAGCACAAGAATTGTCTGAAGCAGATGACCTTCTCCGACGGGCTGGTCTCGAAGAACTCCTTGGACCAGGAAGCCACCGTGCAGGTTCTGTAGCCGAAGTGGCCGAGATTGACTAAATTATTCTTATACTTAAAGCTTTCATCAAAAGTTTTATAAGCGCCACCCCTGAGATTTTTTTGTTTCTTTTATTTTTCTTTTTCTTTCTGCCTTTCTGTCGCTCGCTGCTCCTTTGTCTCCTTTGTTTGTCCCCTAAGGATATCCTCACAGGTTTTAGTTCATTCACTCACTCACAGACGATTATTCCAGTAGCTAAACATAGTACACCGATCAGGGCACTATGTCCTCTACAAATAGTCTCTATACTATGCGCCTTTAGGTGCTGTGTTAATTTAATCGGTATTCAGTACGATATCAGAACTGTTAGAGGAGTTCAACAATTATTATATCGGGTAAAGATCTCAAGGGGAAAGAAGACAGGTGTAGGGTGCAGCTCTTGAGGTAACTAACAAGCCATATACAGATGACTGTGTGCGTAATGTGTTTTCTGCACCAGAGTATACAAGATACGCGTAAGGCCGAGGTTACTTTCGTAAAGTCAAGCTCCAGGGTACCAGCTACCTTGGGATCTAGGATGATGGTCATATAAGTGAGCAGAATGCAGCTGCGCACACGGCTTTATACACTTGGCGGGTATCTGATAGCGACTGCGATCATACCCCTTCGAGATATCTCGCATTGCATGAATCAAGCGGAAGACTCGTGGAGCCCTACAGAAGAAACCGGCCAATACAACACTGAGCCATGAGACAGGCCGGCGCAAAGAGCAAGCGGGCCCGAAGAATTGCAACAATCTTCCTGTAGCTAATTGTAGGTGTACTCCGATTGAAGTTTCCGTAATGAAGGACGAACCAATATCCATTGGAAACTGATACCACAAAAAATCATCGACCAGTTACAAGGTATGAAACCTCATACAGAGAAGCGCGAAAGTAAAAACGCTTCGTCCTTTTGCATGATTTTGTGTGCGAATGCTAATAGTGGTTATACTATATAACTTTGCTGTTCTACTTTATTATGGAACAGTCTGAAATCTAGATCGGGCGACTTGATGGTCGTCGTAAATCGATTTCCGACAGGAGGATACACGGCTGCGGCCATATCTTCATTTTCGGGATCATCCTTTCATCGTTTGAGCTCGTGATATTGAACGAGTAAGGATGAGTGGCACTCGAATCACGGCTGAAGAAGCATGTGCTGGGTAGGTAGTTGAAGATTTGATACAAATGGTGGAAGAAGACATGATGGGGTTCGGACACACATGGGACATTGACCTACTGCCGGACGGGTCTAATGGAAAAGCGACCTCTGGCCTCGTGAGTGTGAGCGACTAATTCTCGCTGTATGTAGCATTCTCAGAAACTGAAGGCGAGGTTCTTTTCCTTTGATTGCT